AACAGTATTTCTAATTTATGTTGTATAATAACTCTATACGAAACAAATAACATTTACTCATCTATGTAGATTGTATCTATGTAGTTGTATCGACTGAAAGAATGATGAGTTAAAATGGAAATTTCTATAAGGGAAAACGTGAAAATTTGAGGTGTAATTTTTTGAACATTATTGACATGAGATTATAACGTTTACTGTAACAAAATGCGTAATAACATTTTGTATGATATAACTTAAAATAATAAACAACTTTCAAGGGTTCTAGCTTCACTTCGGTTTAATTGATGTCTAATTTCTACAAACATCGTTTACACTTATTTAATGCACTTCTATAGTTATTGTGTGCAATGTTTTTTAAATTCTTCTTGCACCATATAATGTTGTTAATAAAAATGGCAGATTTAAGTTTACAGAAATATATTTTTTACTTAAAGTTCTAGGATGCTATAAATAAATCGGTATTTATAATTAATTGTCATAGGCTGCTATAAATACATCAATATTTGACCCAAAGTTTCTAAGCAGAGATATCACAGAAATTCATAATTCAACGCTTGTAATCGTAGCTATTTTTTAAAAACTCATTAAAGTTTTTTCTACTCGTACTTCAGTAATATTAAATTTGTTATGAATTCATTAGTATTTTACAAATGAGGCTGTACAAAAGGAATCTTTTCTAATTAGAATATCTCGTGATTATTTCATAAAACTGCAAATTTCATTATAAAAAACAACTGTAAAGTTAACGTGATAAATACCTGAAGTTTACTTAGTGTTTCATAAGACATATAATTAAATTGAAAATGCTTAAGTAAGCAAACTAAAATATTTGATTATCTGTTTATAGAACTGGTTTGAAATTTTCAAATGAACATACTATAATATAATTTACAGCGATCCGTAAAAGAAAGTTCACGATCGTGGTCAAACTTGAAGATTCTCTTTATCGGCTACATAATATAAAATGTCTATTGCATTTATCCGCACCTTCTACAAAAAGTCAAGAAAGGAATGCTATTATCCTACATACAACTCCCGAACTCTCGCGGTAGTTGTGGATAATTAAAAGTGGTTTTAGATTTCTGGATAATAATAATTGTATTAGGTAAACAAAAAGGGTACCTCTTCAGATTCCTTGACAATATACTTACATACCTTATTATTCACTACCCGGACTGCTTGTTCCTGTGAATGATTTTTCGTCTTTGGTTTGTCGAAGCGCTTGTGCAACGTTTTCGTGCCGGAGGGAAAAACTGAAAATAAAATATGATATATCACTTAGTTTCATATCCTGACACTTGATGGCACTGCAATACCGTAGTTGCTTCAAATTACAAAAAGTATTCGAATATCGTTGCCAGAATACTGTATGTATTTATAACGTGTTTTTTTTATTTTGTTGTTGTTGTTTTTTGTATAGATATACTGTAGCTGTAATCAACTACAAAGTATAATTATTTTTCGTTTGTGCCTTTCGAAATTATTGTGTTATGCTTGTTTAAAAGAATTTTCTTCAGAATCTCAAGCCGCTATTCCACCTTGAAAGGTATTATTTTAGATAATGTAATGTATTTGTTTAACTTACTTGTACATACACTGATATCATATAAGACTAACAATAATTTAAACTCATCTTCTGGCATAAAAGCATGAAATTTTTACAGTAATTCCTGTATGCTGAATCCGAAAATGATATCATTCTTCTCCATCACGTAGAGCTTTTTCACAAAACGTCGTAACGCAATACATAAAAGAAAGACCACAACACGTAGTTTTGAGACTAAAAGACATAGATTTTACACACAAAAAAATCAGGATGAATGAGGATGCATATTCATTTGACATCAGTGTTCTTCCCTTTTCTTCAGTTTGTTTGTATTT